TTCACTTACAAAAATGAGGCAGTTATCGCTCTTCATCACATACCACACATTTGCGACGGTGCCCGCCTACTACGGTGTCTATCGAGCCTTCAAACATCGAAACTGCGTCATGTCCGCCCCGGAACGCGTGGCCCTAAAACGGCGGAACTCACTTCATCTGCTCCCATCAAACCATTCTCAAAGGACGAAAATGGTTGCATGGGCCGTCTCGGATATGAAGCCGGCCACCAGGCGAATTGAACTCGGTGCCGCCATAAGCAAATATGTTTTGGTAAAGAGCTTGTTTATACACAACTCCTATCCTATACCAATTTTGGTGCGCTATTTGCTATTCTGCAAGGTTTTGGAAATATTCCCGACTAGTCAAACATTCTTTTATCACTCGGCCTATTGATGTTGCTTATAAGATCGACAACGCGATACACATTAGTTCAGTATACCTCACGCGTGAAAAGAACTCTTTAGGGGACTATGCAGGGTTATGAGTTGATGCAATGGAAGAAGTATACAGCGTGCGGTTTCAATATATTAACAACATGGATAGGCGAAGATGATAGCAAAAATGCGGAAGACCAGGAAACGTTTTTACTTTCGAACAGAATTGAGACATCTTCCTGTAGGTAGGCCAATTACCCATTATCAGAATTGTCTTCTGTATTACGCCCAAATATTTTCGATAAGTAATCACGGCTTTTGTCATACAACATATTTCTGTGGAGACAGGAAGCTATATCTGTTTACTGTTTTCCTTCCCTTACAAAACTGACCCAGATATCGTTCTACATTACACACCACACATTTGCGACGGTGCCCGCCTACTACGGTGTCTATCGAGCCTTCAAACATCCAAACTGCGTCATGTCTGCCCGGGAACGCGTGGCCCTAAAACGACAAAACTCACTTCATCTGCTCCCTTCACACCATGCTCAAAGGACGAAAATGGTTGCATGGGTTGTCTCGAAAATGAAACCGGCTAACAGGCGAAATGAACTCAGTGACGCTATCAGCAAATACATTCCGGTAAAGCACTTGTTTATATACAATTCCTAAATGAGCACACAATCAGAAACGACTTTGATTGTCGAAAAAACTGTTTAGCTAATTTCGAAAACTAACAGCCTTTCACATTTGCAGTGTTTGCTAGTTTTGGGGAGTTATAAGACACACAAAATTAGTCTCCCAGTTGCTGTCTAGGGGCACTCTGATATCTCTGTCATAAACACTTGTTATGGGATTACAGGCGAAATCATCTAAGTACTGAACTTAATCAGTGAACAGCGACACAATATTATGTGGGGTGAGTGAGTATTTTGCTTGCGTAAAAAGCAGAAGACGAGAAGGCTTTAAGAATGCGAGTGGTAAGAATGATCATCCGAAAACTACGAAACCTAAAAACCACCCATTTCCCTTCATGTATATCCAAGAGAAATGTCGATTTAAGCTAATTCATTAGGTACACAAGTTATTCACCATGCATTCACCAACTGCCTTGCGATCGTCATTTAGGATTATATGCAGCCGTAGTGGTAGAAGCAAGGACGGCAGAAACCGAAGTTTCCTCTTCTGAGCGGTCGGACACTTGCCGCGTTCTTCCTAGTTTGTCATAGGGATTGCAAACGTACTCCTTGTAAATTCACTGAGAGAGCCGTCGCTTAAAATGGAAGTCACTATGACTAAAAACAGGCTGGCACGAACGCATGTTGCTCGAGAACGTCGTTCGTCACTGAACCGGGAATTTCGTTTACAAATCGATGCGAACTAAAGCACGAGGGACGCCGCATACATCGAATTTTCCCCCCAGTCTTCTTACACCAGCACACACGGCAATAGAGGATGTAAAACTGCGTCTTTGCGTACCACACACCAACTGACCCCCTATGCAAATACTCAAGCCAGACTACACAAGAAGTCTGAATCCACATGTAAACGAGAGATTCTTTGATAGTCACAGTAAAATTTTGCTATCTCAAACTGACCGTCAGTTAGGAGGAAATCTACTCATCTAGTTGTTTGGCAGCATTTCAAACTGCGGATAGTATAGTGTATTGTGCTAATGAGAATGTTTGTGAAATATTTTATAGCTGAGGGAAGAAAGAACTGTACTCGGTTTAAAGGAGGCTCACTTTCCCTTCCGCCTCCATCGTGTGTCAGTCGAAAGTTTGATTAAAGTCTAACCTTTATGGCGATCATGTGTGTGTTGGCTGAGATAGCCTAAAACTTCCGCTACATACGCTCACGACGCTCAAAATGGGGTTTAACTCTCGTGGGGTAAGGGATGCAATAAATGTACAAGGTGGCGATATGACTGTTTAGTCTAGAGTTCTATGTGTTCATAACTGTAAAACAACGTCTTAAGAGAAAAGCGACTGTTCATCTTATTTCATTTTTGGAGCACACGGTGTAAATCGTCGGCAATGACGGTCGAACTATCGGAGGGATTACGTTTGAGAAAGCGCTTAAGAATCATTACATACTTCAGGGCACTCAAGATGGAATGATGGTTGTTTTTGTGAGTAATCCTGTTGTACTTAATTTTTCTAGGTTGACAAGTACGGACAACATGATAAGAAAGGCCCAGATGGTCAGGCGTGCTTCGAAATGTTATCAAAGCAGTACAAGTTTTATCTAGCTTTTGAGAACAGCAACTGCGATGGCTACATCACAGAGAAATTATTCTCCAACGCTCTGGGGTGCGTCAAAAACTGTCAATACCGAAACACATCTGTCAAGCTAGCAGATTTTAACTGTTACAATTATTACTAAAGTAACCAGTTATAAATGTTCACTTTAGAAGTCGTCATAGTTAACGTATAGATTTTAATTCGACACTAATTACTATACACATCTGCTCGCTAGACAACGAAATCAACCCCTGTTTTCTCCCCTGCATTCTTTTAAATGCTAACTGGAAAATCATCTTTTCCGATCGACTCTTTGCGAACAATTACCATGGCAACAGTTACTTTGTTCTACGTGGCAACTTGAACCGCAACTTCTATTTCAGATAATGCTTAAAGTCTATAGTAACTGAAGCGTTCCTTCCGGAAACACATGTATTCTTGTCAATAATCCATCCACGAGCGGCGTATTAGTGAATGCTACATTCGACCGCGAGATTTTATGAATTCGGCCAAAAATATACCTTTTAAAACGGAATGTGACCCAGAGATATTTTCCTTAGCAGGGAATATGCGGAGAATGAAATGGTCCATTTTGGTGTTCACGAACGCTAAGGAAATCTAGCAAAGTCAAGGTGCATTTCGACCATTTGTCAAGTACTCAACAGATGCAAATGATTTTGTATGTACCAGTGCGCTGTTTAAATGAAGACCTCAGAATTGATGACCCAATTGACTGACCTGGAAGACCTTTGGCGTATGGACTTTCAATGTCCGAATTGTCTGGCGCGGGTGGAGTTCATACTTCACTTCTACAATCAAAAGCAGATGTTTATATTTGAAATAGAAGAAAGTCATTTACGAAACGTCCGACTTGTACAGTAAGTTTAGGTCAGATGTTCGGAATCCCGCTTCACTCTCTGGGAGGCAGGGAAGATATTGGCATATCGTGCCATCTTGGGTAAGAGATGTTGCGTTCTAGTCCATGAAAAGGTGGACTGCCATTCATTAAGTATAGCGGTGTGACTGACAAAACCTGAGAGCTATTATCTAAACAGCAGGTCCAATCAGATGAGGCCAGTGTTCGGCTCACTACCAATACTAATCAAACTAATGCGCGGGAGACAGGGTGGTCAAGAAAGGATGAGCACTACGGAAGCGGAGATTTAGATATTGCCTGATGACTGTCGAACGGGTTTGATTAAAATGGTTGAACTTAACCAAATCAAATGTTATAGCTCCATGACTTATTTAGATTCTTTAGCGGACAATATGGAAAAGTGAAATGTCGCCTAGTGCAGCTCTGAGCTGTTCGGCTCCTCACCATGAAATTCAACTATGTCAAATCGAAACTCAAGTGACAACACTAGGAAAAAATGCTACTGCAGTCGCATAAATTCAAAGCAAACTTTTGCAGGGCAATTAAGGATCGATCCTAACCAGACATCCCGGTGATCGTTTGTGTTGAGTATATCAGCCATCCGGCTACCATGTTTCGGTATAATTTCTGAAATTCCAGCTTTTCTATCTAGTTGCCAAAAATCAAGGGACTTTTAGTAAATCAATAATCACACACCACAAGTTCCAAGAAACTTGAGAAATCCTGTCCATGACGGAAACAATAATATTCAAAAAGACTGAATAGAAACATCCGTAAGAATTCTGTCAATCATGCTGTTCTCCTTTTTTCGCTATTTCTCACCACTTATTGCAGTATGTTTGGCTCAGCGATTATAGCTGTTCCCGAAATTCGGATTCATGCTGCTTACGGAACTGTTTTAGCGTTTGAACAAAACATACTCTAACATAACTCTCAGGTAATATTTTTCCTCTTCTCAGTGAGATAAGTATTTGAGTTCATGGATATATGACTGCTGTCTGATGGTGATAGGATTCTTTGCCTTGCATGCGAGATCATGGTCTACAGACCCATAAGTAGACAAGTTGTGTTACCAACGTAGCGATCGTTTCTGACTGGATAGCAGTCATCGGCTGCTCACGCTTCAACTCCAGGAAGTCCTAAGATTCTGGTCGCATTTGTGAAATATAGGGCAGGGTGAGCGGTGTTCACTTGAACGTTGTCTTTGATTATGAATTAACAGGTCGAAAAACACAATCAAGACCACGCAGGAAAAAAAGATTACAAATTTGGTCATGTGCCCGTCAATTTCGACAAAAAGATGAAGGTTGTGGTGAATCTGAATAAATCCGGCTGCGTGATTCTTAATGTTGTGTTCGAAATCCTGAGGGTCATTATAGTTGTCGCTATAAACTGTTGATAATTATACAAGTTCGGAGGAGGCACCACAAGACTGTTCAGCCACATAGGTACCCATCCAACCGAAAACCATTGTTTATTTCTTGTCCCATAAAAGATTTGGCATGGTTCCCATTGTCTATGGGGCTTCACGAGAGGAATTTTACCAACGTGCACCGCCCAATCCCTACATTCATGTGGATGACTTTGAGAACGTCGAACAGCTGGCAAAATACCTTCAATACGTCGACAAAAACGATACGGCCTACGCAACCTACTTCGCGTGGAATGAGCACGGTGAAATATTGGTGGGTTTGAGTCTGTAATGTCAACTTTTTATCTTCCTGAAGCGAATACAATACGTGAATCAGGTCACATGGCCGTCGACTTTACACCTGATATTATTTATTTAGGGGATATTTCGGTTGTAGTGCAAAACACGTAATGACTGAAGGAGCATTAGCACGGGTATATCGCCGAGGCATTTTGTTCAAGGCACCTATTTTTTCTCAGCCAAATTGTGCATCCGTCCTAATGGAAGCCAGACAATTAGACCTCAACTTCCTACTACTACTACTACTACTACTACTACTACTACTACTACTACTACTACTACTACTATGACGACTGCTGCTGCTGCTGCTGCCGCCGCCACCACAATCACCATCACCACCACCGCAACCGCCATCATCATCATCATCATCATCATCATCATCATCATCATCATCATCATCATCATCATCATCATCATCATCATCATCATCATCATCATCATCATCACCACCGCCGCCACCACCACCACCACCACCACCACCACCACCATCAGCGCACCAGGAGACAGAGCAACGTTATACCTATTCTCATGTATCAAATAAAGTTCGCTGCCGGTCAGGAAATTCTCCTGTTCTGTTATTTCTGAGGTTTTAACCACCCTTGTCAGGGATGCAGTAGACAGGAAATGTTGGGCAATGTTTGGGACGGTAAAAACAACAGTATTTATTGGTCTTGAGTAACTACCTCATACTTGGTTAACAGGCTCCTGTTACCTAGGCTGACCTCCGGCAACTTGTGCTGTACAGTAGTGGCGTGCACCGGATCTATCTTTATTACATGACGGAGAAATATTTCAACTTAGTCTTTGCTACACTTAACTTCATTTCTCGGACGTTACGACCCCGTGCATCCATGGCATTGGACTTAGCCCAACACTCGTCTCTGTGGTAACAGTACTCTGCAAGTTGGTATACATAAAGAATTGTCGTGCCATATATTGGGTACACTCACTGCAAGGGAAGCCCCTAGGGTGCGCAAATTCTGCACTTTAGCAAAGATGGAAGGCTCCAAGGATCTCATCAACTTTTATGCAAAGTATAAACGAGCCAATCTAACACATCTCCCCTTTTGTTTCAACCATTCTCCTCCGCAGCTCTATCCGAGAGTTGACTGTCGCGTCTGTGGTATGCTGCATCACGTCCTCAGGGGAGAAATAAATCTTCAGCGTAGTACCTACTGGGATTATTACGACGGAGATCGAACTTGCTCTAAGCACAGCCGCATCAAGTTTTGAAGATGACGCTTTATGTGCATGTCTTAAATTTATCTCTTTTATTTGTTTTTCTCTTGCATGTCCAAATAGCGATTCTTCTCAATAGGACAAACGGCAAACAATAGAAGCCGTTAAAGGGGGGCCAAGACAAAATCTTGTCGATTTCACAAAAGTTGTCAGTAGCACGCATATGTTCCGCCAAGGCGTTGGTCAGTAAAACGATCGAAAGCGCTTTGAAAGTTGTTTGCAACGTCTACCATGCAGCCTTATGCAATTTTGTGTTCATGTCAAAATATTTTGATAAATGTTAACAAGCGTTAGTACTTGACAGCTACCGTTCATCCGGCGGAAGCTTGACGAATTGTGCCGATTATTCTGCGAGGCGTCACTCAGAGTACGCTGAATAGACAAAAGAATGTCGAACTGACTCGTGAAGAAACGGTGCAGTTTACTAGGAATGCTTCACGCGTCCGTATAATTCCAGAAAAACTTTGAGGGATCTGTATGCGGGAAGAGTTTTGCTGGGAATAAATGATTGCGCTCAGTTTCCTGGAAAGCGATCCTAAATTTCGAAGAAGAACATATCGTCCCTGGAACAGGGAGTTTACTGGCCGGACGTTCCGCATTCTTTCTTTAGTCATCATCACAGACAGTCTGCCGCTGTCTTTAAAGTTTGAATCAAATGTTCATCCAAAACACAGGTCATTAAGCCTCTTGTTCCAGCCATCGCATCTGCATCTTCTGGCTTGCTTCCTCGTACACACCTGATCACTTTGTCGGCTTCCATATTAACTGAAAGGAATATAAAAATAACTGACATTTTACGAAGCCTCAGTAATATAAAGGATTGAATCCCAGGTAACTGGCTGTTATAGTGAAGATCAAGAGGTTGGTTCAAGCACAATTCCCCCTGCGCAATCTTCGCCGTCCATTGTCGAGGAAAGCGCGTGTTGGTAGTTTGCCTGTCGGGACAGATATCCATCGTTTGCTCCTCAGCCTGGCCGGTGAGAAAGCAGTGGATTGAGCATTAATCACTTTATGGCGGACTAAACAACTTTCCTGTCAGCCGTTCTGCGTGGATTACAGCGAAGCAGGCGAAATATCAATACTCCTCGAAGCTGTTAACCTGTGACTATTTGTATTAGGATTGACAATTAGGCCGAAACATTCAAATGTGTCGATCGTCCTAATGAGTGCAAGTTTGTCTTGCGAATTTTCACCAGTAAACGTACGTACAGTCTTCTGGTTTATCCTACTCGAGCATTTCAGTTAACGATAAGTGGAATAAACGTTTAACAATGCAACTACCTTTACGTTCTCGTATGAACATTATTTAAAAAGTTGCGTAAAAACACAAGTCCATGTCTCACCTGCCCGAACAGTGACTAAGAGCTAAATTTGGTAGGATTTCATCCGGCAGCGTTTTGAAACCAGAGACACTTCGACTTTAGATAAGGCTAAAATTCGCTTGTTTACGCCGCAGTATAATCAACATCATGTTGCTGGACCACAAACGTAAGTGCTAACAGCCCCCAATAAATGCAGCATTCATAAATGATCAAAAATCGATATTTTTTGTTAATGCGACTGAGAAGGAATGCCGTTCGTTTTTTAAATGAATTCAGAATTTCTGGAGTATTGGAGTGAAATATCTCCTGGCCTTAAATATGCTGAAATCATTAAATAGTTTAAATACCTAGATTATTTAAAAGTCACTTTATTATTGTAACCTTCATAGATAAACCTCAAAACAGTTAGAAGAGTCACCAGTTTACGTTGAAGGAAATAGGAGCTAACTTTTCGTAACATCCTGTTTTTGGTTTGGCTATTGCTCATTAATTTCCTCTTTTATCTATCTATATATCTTTAAGTAACTTTTGTCGAAGTCCATCAAAAACTTCATAGAATTACGAATTACATTACACATCAATAAACGTCCTCTAAGTAATGCCGACTACTGCAGATTCGTTATTCAGAACGATGGGCGTTTTTCATGGAGGAACGTAATAAAATTAAACCGATATTTTCTGCAAAAATAGGGATTTTTAAATCGATATTTGATTCAAATTCTGAGTGGTGAAGCGATGATATGATAATTGTGCATTGACAATGTTCAACGGCCACGTGTTGCTCTATTACAGCTTCTAATTTATTGATGTATAAGTAGCCAAACGGGCGACGGAAATATTCGTTAAAAGTCCGGACAGTTGCTTCGTGGCCCTTTTGCACTGAATGACGTAGTTAAGATGGGTTCGATTCCACAGTTGATTCCAAAGTGCTTCTTGTGTATGTTTCAGTTTCGAAATAGCGTGGATCAAATATTCTGAGAAATTGATTTGCTCACACGAAGTAATTTCTGCGGAACAAACCTTTCCGGCTTGATCCAAAAGTCGGTTCGAATGTTTTTACCGAACATCACTTTGTTTAGTAGGATAAGCACATAATACTCAAAAGCTGCCGATAGGCAGTCAGTAGTACATACATGCCGCATGACTCAGCATACTGACAGTATAATTGCCAGTCAAATGTCCAGACACCTGCTGCGCTGAGTGGATTATAAAGCTGAAGTTTCAGACCCGTCGTATATATCATAAAGCACATGCGCAACGCTAGGGGACACGTCGACTACATGGCCTCCTCACGATTTCGTCATGTTCGGGCAAAATATATAAGAAACACACAACTGGGTCTTCTGCCAGGACCTTTGCTGCCAGTTTGAATCAACTTATGTATGCTACTGCCTGTTTGTTGGCAGTTTACAAATATTGCGCGGTCATCCCGCTGAAGCTGATGACTATCGCTTTGAGTTTTGGGACTGAGACTGAAAAGTGTTACTCCAGATCAGGACATTTATTTCCGAGGAGACAAGGGCTGAGACATAGTCTCCCTTCTGGCCAGGGCGGTTGCAGGTTTCTGCACGTTGCTGATCACAGACATCCAGTGATTCAGCGTGCACTGTAAGACACACGGAAAAGAAATGAAACCACCAGCATGAATGCAGTGGTGCGAGTGTTGGTCTCCGAGTACTCATGCCGGCATTGGCTCGTGACCAGTGTCGTATGAGTCATCGGTTGATGCGTTGTCCTTGACCCGGTCCCCGTCTCACTCACATAGTCTGCCGCGACAAGACCAGAAAATGGGTAGCACTAGGCTCAACGTTTGCCAGGCATGCAGCACCACCTTCTGCAGCAGTGGATACATCGAAACCCATTCAAGTTTGCTGTCGTATGTCTGGTGGCAATTTACCTACTGTTAGCATCCTTGCATCTACCTCGCCGGGCGTCCTTACTACTGACAAATCGTAACAAGCATAAAAGGAGTGAACCAATTAGTGCATCACCGACAGATCAGGGACTATTTGCGGAACCCGAATGTGGTGATGGAGAAGTCTCGCCGTACGTCAACTTCGTACGCCAATTTCGCTGGGTCCTTTCTAGCCACCGACCAGCGACCGGCCATTATGTGCGTTTTTCCAACTACCATTTTTATACAGAATCTGAAGTTACTTTCACAAGTTCAATGTCTAGAATAATTCCATTCCCAACTAGAAGATTGGCACCGCAGAGAGACGATCTAGCCGATTTTTAAGGAATACAAATTGAGATGCAGGCTGGCCCGGGGGATCAAACGGACTTAAGTGTATCGTTAATTCGAATACAGAGGAATACCTTTGTTGAAGACCATCAGTTTGGGGTGGACGTCATCTACATGCTTGTAAGGGATGTGAAATCAGAATGAACTTCAGATTACTGTGTGTCGAAAGCTCTGTTATAATTGATATAAACCACTTTTCCGTGCATCCCATCACGTTGGGGTAAAAGGACACGTAAAACCGCTTTCAACTTCACAATTCGTTATTGTAACCGAGAGGTAAAAAACTTGGACTTAGCCTTGGACGCTACTGAAACTGCTTGCACAGTGCGAAAACAAAACAGCAGCCGTCGTAGATTTCACCTGCTTATACCTATGCCCGGGTATTTTTGATTGTCTACTCGTTTTGCATTTTAATATGTTATTGATCCTTCGTGAGCTCTGCCATTTAGTTCTGGGCGTCCTTGCTGTGAGGAGTCCAACGGTTACTGCGCCCTTCTTCCTGCGTAGATATCTCGTAATTCTGGCGTAAATGCTATCGACTGCGAATTTCAATTATCCCTCTGCTGGAACCATTAGATTCCATGGTAGTGTTCCACGGGTTCCGTTGAGTGACATTCACGGCAATGATTCAGCTTTCTGTATGGTTGTGTGTACATTTGCGGAAAAACTACTAGTTGTTCTAAACCAACGAATTTGATCCTGTTGAAAAGATACTTGGAAAATAAAGTTGAAAATCAGAAGAAAAATGAACAGTCTTGGAGGAAAAATTAACGTTTTTTAAGATATCTACAGTTCCTGTATGGTCCCAGTGGCCCAAACTGATTTCGAGCTCGGGCATTTAATTACGATAGCGTGTTGATACAAAACAGACTGTACGGTAGATTAGCTGGACGAGCACTCGGGCTTGTTCAGATTCCGGAATGCGTCATTGGAATGCGCACTGTTACGCATGCCAATATTCGCGTTGCGGTTGCGAGCCCAGTTGCCGGTTCCCGTCGTAGGATTTTTTGTTGGCAAAAATCCTGGTTAAGTGTTTATTGTGGTCCTAGGGTGCGGTGGCATTACTAGGTGTGCTCTCTTCAACCTCCGGTATTTTCGACCATGTTTTGACATCGGGACTTGACACAGAAGGAGGAGAGCGAGAGCGGTAGATGCTGTGCGAGCCTACTGCCACTTTGTGCTAATCCACGCACGAGCCACAGTGATTACTCTCGTCATGCTATGGGACACAGTGTGAACGTCGTCGACCATAACGGTCAAATTGTCATATATAGATATATCGAAAGAAATAAGCTCTTTGGGAAAGATAAACAAGTTTTATTGTAAATTTTCGATCTTGGTTCCCCAAGTCGCCTTCAGACGTGACAGATTCCACATTCGACCACAATAGACGGCATCACATGTGGCATCAGCAATTCAAGGGAAAAGGTATTTCCAATGGTACGGCCGCTCGGGCACGAAAATCAACCACCTGGCGAAATCTCCCATACGTGAGAAATGTATCTGAACTAGTCGAAAGACAATCAAAAAGCACCAGATACACGTGGCGGACCAGCTGGAAACTACCTTACGCGCACAGCTTGAACACCCTAAGGAAAGGGTTCTCTACCTCGAAAGAAGAGGATTTGTCTACAAAATCCAATATTCTAGTCCTGATGCCGTCTATGTTGGTCAAACTGTGGAATCTGTCTCGACCCGTCCACATGAGCATAGGTTAGCGGAGAAGAGACGAGATCATCTATCCCAGGTGGCTATGCACACACTGGACACCGGACACCAATTTGCATGGGAGGAGACTCGCATTGTTGGGGCCTACCCAATAAGGAAGGGCCGCGAATTCCTAGAGGCAATGCACTCAGGGGAGACATGCATCAACCGGCATTATCGATCTAGATGCTACATACAAAATCTCTAGGGACGGATTCAAACTGTCTCAACCAATCGCGAGATGATGTCTTTAACCAGTCATAGAATCCTTTGTCAGACTCGGTCTAGAAGTTCATTGCTTTTGCACGTCCGTTTTCTGAAGGTGAGCTGGGGAACCAGTCTCGAAAATTTCCACAATAAAGCTCTCTGTTTCCAAAACAATTGAATCTTCCTTAATTTATATATATGCAGAATGTTACTGCCGACAAAGAGAATGGAGACTGGAATAGCCATTTCTGGCTCAGTAGCCGTTGTCAGCCAGTCATAACCAACCCCAAAGTGTGGAACACTTGGGGCTCGATCCCGCGACCTTTTGGTTAACAACTCAACGTCTCCAACCCTTGAGCCTCACGTGCTCCACATTTCGGGATTGGGTATGATTGGCTGACGAACTGTGATTCCAGAAGTGGACAGTCCAATTTCCCTTGCCTTCATCGGCAATGCCATTCTGCGTATATTTTGCTCCGCTGCTCGTCTGCTGATTGGGCTGGAGAGAGATCCCCAAGGCAAGGACGAGTGAGTTTCGTAAGGACGATCGGTGAGCTTCTCTCTTCCCTATATATGCATATAGGTAGTGAAAGGTAGGCAGTCATCTCGCGAAATATTTGTTAAAAACGAGTATGTTCTTTGGGAACAGAAATTTTATTTCATTACTTTTGGCGCGGGTCCCTAAGGGCTTTTTCAGTCGCAGACGACAAATAGACGTGCGAAAAAGCATTTAACAATTTATGTCCGCTTAACAAAATCAATACTTGCTTGGCGTTTGTGTCAGTAAGCGGTCGAAGTCTGTCTCTCTGTTCCGATTGGCTCTGATCTCCCCCGTTTCTCCCTACGGTTCCTGTACGCGCATCCAACTCGATATGCCGGTTGATGTATAGTTCAACCGAGTGCATGGTATCGAGGAGCTCTCTGTCTTTCTTGAAAGGGCAGACAGTGACAGTGCGAGTTTTCCCCCAAGCAAATGTGTGACGGATGTCCAGGGCATTGACCGCCAATTAGGACATGCTTTCCTGCCACTTTTCCTCAAAAAATATGTTTGGGAAGGGTTGTAGAAGCGAAATTTCTAGTCTGACAGCAACAAATTCTTTGAAGACATCGAATGTGATCATGCAGGTGAATTCTCTCTTGCTCAAAGAACTTAGCCCATGCTTAGTGTGTAAAGCTCGGCCCTTAAATTAGTCGGTATTTTGTGTGCCACTTAAATGATGAGGTACGCTAGGTGTCTTTCATCGAGTTCAGACTCACTTTAGATATGGGGATGGTTTAGCAAATTATCTGGTTCAGTTGAATTAGAATTTCTCGGTTCCTTTCATATAAATCCTCTCGCCTCGTTCATCGGCGTACAAAATCTTCATTTTTAATATACTCGATCGCAACCGACAAGACAATGGGCCTATCTCTTTATGGTTAGGGCGTTGGACTTCCAACCAGTAGGCTGAGAGTTCGATCCTGCGACGTTCCATACCTCGGGTTTGGGTATGGCTGGGCGTTGACTACTAACAAGTCTAAAATGGGCATCCCAGTCTCCTTTGTCTTTGTCGGCTGATGCGTTAGACTTACTACCTCTTGTCGACCAAATTCTGCATATTCGAATCTCAGGAGTTACAAATCCTAGGGTTGTGTAAGGCTGGCCTTCAACAGTTAATAAGCCAGCAACGAGCATCCAAGTATTCCTTGTCTACACACCCTTGTCTTCAAACAGTAGAAATCGCTGTCTGACTGTCTGTGGGGGTTCGATAATGAAACCTAAGGCACAACGGAGTGAGTATATCCTGTAGCCCAGTCGGTGGTTCAGCAATACATTAGCATTTATATGGCCACACTGCCGTGCATTCATAATCGAAGAACGGAGTATAAAGTCAAGGAAATATGGCAAAAATGGCCGCAGTGTAAACCAAACGCGAGTTCTTGCGTTTGTGCTTTACAAATATCAATATGGTTTTAGCAACATGAATTAAAAGGCCAAAACGTCAATTTGTTCTTGGCTTCACCAAGAAATGCTACAAAGAACACATACGTCCATTAACAGTGCAGTATTATAGCAATCTCTATTAAGGCAATTTATAAAAGAAAGTTATCTATGTGATCTAAAGCATTTTTCTATTGACTTATGCTGTGGACTTTCATTTTACTGCACGATAAGTTTTCATGTTTTATGAGTCTTCGAACGCGACCAAAACGCCCAAACAATAACTGCCTTGGTAAATGCCTTCAAGACGTTTCTTGTTTCAAAGGTCTTGATAAACACATAATACGGAATCTGTACTAGTGGGCAATCGATTGAAAAGACTGAAGGTCATGACTATCCAACGGCTATTTAAGGTCGACCTGAAACTCGACGTTATTTAGATCAAGGAAAAAGTGTACATTAAGTTCATAGAAGAAACGTTCTGGTTATAGATACAAAATGGCATAATGAAAAAGAGAAGACTGGTCGGAAATCGAAGAGCTTTCTCTTTTTCATTATATCACCTCGGAATGCACACCACATCAGTTATTCAATAAAATGGTACATTTTAGATTACATCTGGCTGTATGCGTCCTTATGCAAAACTTTATTTCTATGACGTTCCTGTCGGCGAAGTCAATCAAACTCCTGTTACCCCTGTTAAAACGCATCCCAACCAATACGAACTCTCGGCAAACCGTTTTGGAATTTATGCTCAGAATGTAGGCTGTTGGCAAACCGCCACGCCCGAAATTACAAAAATTCTTAAAGGAAACCGTAACGCAAACAGCATTGAAAGATTATTCTTGAACATTATCCTATTTTGCTGCAGTATGTGCTAAGTGTTTTGTATGGACAGACTTTCCGTACATGTAAGGCTAAAGTTAACATGTTTAGAGCAATTTCCAACTTTTTCGGAATTTTACGCCTTTCTTAAGAAATTCGTACTTTTAAACAATGTAACCCTACCTTCAATATAACTTTTATGTCCCCAATTGTCTTAAAGGCGTTCCTTGTTAATATAGGTGTTTCGTCCACACATTGGTTTCAGTCTACGAGTGAATACCAGTCATTCGTAAACTTCAACACTGCATCAGTAAGGTCATGCACGGTATGTCTGTTAGATTTTTGATCCAAATCCTCATTGACGGTTGTTCTGAGGTCTAGCAAACAGTCGTTGGAAGCGCTTGGAGTCGCCAGACTTCTCAATGTTCCTGTTCTTTTCTTCAGAATCCCCGGGATAATGCGTCACTACCTCTGATCTTCTATGACAAGAGACTCCTCTACCACGACGTGTTCACCGAAGGCTGCCAATACAAATGTCAGTACACTTCGGACATCCGCGACATACAAAGAGCGCATTTAGCAGTTTTTACTCAGAACCCACCAAGACTCGCATATCGCTACTCTAGAAGACAGATTTGGGCCCTGGAGACTGGTGAACCCGTACATCTCATACCCCTGATTACGGACCAAGCAAAGGACAAGGTCAGAAAGACCAGACTGCTATAGTTGATTCGCGTTGCTGCAGGAAGAGGCAAAATGTCAAATTAAATTAAGTTAGGTCCACATAGTGACGATTTTTTACGACAAAAACGCATTATTTCATATGAATCACAGCCGAAATATCTGATGGCACAATCAGATATTATTAAAGATTTTCCACGCCCCGTTTAAACAAATCGATTAATGGTGGTTTGGGACGGTAAAAATGCTAATTAAGCGAATTACATCGTCTATTCGAGTAGGAATGTGCGCATACTGATCTAATGGTTTCTCAAAGTAAAGAAGCTACGTATGGGTAATGAAGTTGAATAATAGACAATCAACTATCAGGCCGTAGTCGACCAAGTTATAATAACAGAGAAGAGGGTAGACAGGGAATTCGGGTAGACTGATACAGTACTTTTCCGAACATGCGCTCGTAAAATGCACAGATGGTCCAAAGGCGTGTTACAGTGGATGAGTCATTAGCACTTCATCGGACGGATGTCCATCAGTGTCTCGTGATCCGCCACTGCAGACGGCTGCAGATCGGACATTTATTCAGTCAGGAATGTGGGCACACCCATGTATCGTCTTTTCTGAAGCGAACAAGCTCCATACGGGCGACAGAGGTCACAAATTTGCGACCACCTATCAGCCCGAAGTGGCGTCTGTACATGGCGCACCATTCTTAGTGCAGAAGCTGTCAATGTTGACTTAGGCGACTTTTGTCTATGTCGAAGATGATAAGGACGATATGGGTCACAATGAAACGGGGTCACATGCAGCCCCTCAGTCGGCAGGGGCTGCCTTCGCATGAAGAAACTGGCATCAGACAATTAGAGCTGTGCAAAGGGATTTCCATTCTGTAAAGATGGGTAGGCAGAATCATTACTCGAAAGTTCAGACCCCATATAAACGTTTTTCGGTAAATGCCTATTAGTCTTTTGATAAAACGTGTGCCTCCGAACACTCCTTAAAAGTACCAGGCTCTGTTCTGTGATCTAAATAATTTAGGAGCTGTTGGGTGCTCAGTTAAACCGAAGCTGTCCAAGCGATGTACGAGTTTTCTGTGTCAGAATACACGAAATGCCGGATGGGCCCAAATGTTCGACGTCCGAATATCTCACCAATTTTCTGCTCCCAAAGAGACTACGCAACCCCCGATGAATGATGCTGATGATACACTGCAGATGATATATAATATGTGATAAGAAATAGGTTTCGACGTCGTCCCAGGACATTTTCATTCTCTAGTTGTGAGCTTCTCTATCGCACAAGTTGATGTGCGGTCAAAGAGAGAGATATTTGATTCTATTGACGTTTAGGAATCTCAATCAAACCCATGATCTACGACAGCCACTGATGAGACCTTTGTCTGTCCCTGATGATGGAGGTGAACAAGAATTATGGATGTCAGACTCACAAAAATATCGTTCCAGCGATCACATCTTCAATTCAAATGCCACTTAAAATTCGTTCTTGTGTCTGAGTCAGTCTGAGGTATCAAGGCGATATTTGCCGATACAAGCGTAGATGCAAGTTGCAGGAACTAGCAGAAGCGATCGCTAAAACAAGAGCTATATTCGCCTGAAGTTTCTGATCCTCGCTCGAACCCATCAGCAGAGACAGAGCCACCGGAGACTTGAAATATTTAACTGCGTTGTAAGCCCGTTTGCTCCTATGCAGCGTACTTTCTGTTAGTTCTTTACGGTACCGTGTTTCATGATCCTGGCTTATTTCGATCAACCAACATTGTGCAAACGTCTCTTCGAATTAAGGTATGCGTTCTAGTTTCCGCAGTTAAATTCCCCTTTTGTTATTCCTTAATCTCATAACCATATCATCCGGCTCCGATCTACTAGGCAATCCTTTCCTGTCCGTGCTCAAAATCGGTTTCGATTCATCTTAACTTATTGTAAAGCCGAAACATGACAGCCGGCCCTTGCAGCCATGAACAGTTCGCATACAGGAACTCCAACACCGTCTGAGTTTTTGGCTATACAACAACCAAGAGTACATGGAATTAACATCGTTCGACGTAGGATAGTCGCTGTCACCACTACACTGTCGGAAATCAACTGGATGTTTTTAGAATGTAAACATCATCTGAAAAAGAGTATTCAGCCAAGAAGGGCTTACAAAAATTCGGCTATGTCAAGGAAATGGGAAAATGTTTACTTCCTTCCACAGAGTGAATCTTCTCGGATTTGTGCAGCACACAGTTTTCGCCTGCATTTTGTATTTCGCAATTCGGAAAAGACGGCAGACAAACAATTTAATCGCCCAGACTGAGCATTCAAAGTATGAATGCCGTTTAGTGTCGCCAAACGGGACTCCAAACAGCCAGATGGCATAAACGAAGTCAGGAGCCATGTTTTGCAAATGTGAAGCCCAAAGAAAATACTCCGAAAGATATAGTTGTGGCATTCAAGTGGACTTAGAACTCACTGAAGTGGCCTGATTGCCGAACAACGGAGATGAATCCCCCGCTGGGAAAGACCAGTATATACATGAATGGCCGAAGTGACACGTGCTGCCATCCTAGGTTCCACGTACTGGGATTTGGATAAGAGGGATTGACGACGATGAATAAGCACAAAAAGTGTCCACTACACTTTGTCCGTGTAGATAGTAGGGAAACATTTTCGGTGAATTTCGGCCAGCTTACAGGCGTCGCTCAGCCCTCTACGATCCAGAAGAATCTAAAATTGAGTACGGGTTCGAATGACCGTTCTAGATGCACCATTTTCTGAGACATTTAGCGCGCAATGTAATCGTTTCCTAAACATGTCAAAAAATTCACGGGAAATAATGGTGGCGAAAGGTAATACATGTTTTTTTATAATTCCCGATGAGTTGCAAAACTGCATGAATGTCTATAAATACTGATTGGTTCCACGCAATCTCGGCACGGGCACTACTTTGACGCCGTATCCCTGTTGCGGATTTTATACATCAGCCATTATCTGCGCTACTGACTGTCTTTAGGAGGATATTGAATATTTTATGTTGATCCGCTGAGGCCATTGGAGCTCATCCAAGCATTCATATCAAATTTTGGTTTAACGCTTAGCCATTTTGACAAGGAATTTTCCACATACTCTCGCAATAATGTCTGTTGAAATTAATTCTGCTGAATTAGAAGGGGTTCGGTTAACTTCAATAAGCGCATTACGGAACCAGGCCTGGTTTCTGGAAGACTTTTTATTCCACTATACATCTTGTCTGATAAAAATTTCCTTTTTTTGCAGTTTACTATGTACATTACGCATCACACCTTCGCTACTGTACCATTCTACTACGGTGTATATTGGGCCTTCAAAAAACCCGACTGCTCAATGCCCAAGGCAGAAAGACTAAAACTGTGGTCTCAAAACTCCCTACGATTCCTGCCGAAACAGCACGCTGGCCGCAGCAAGATGGTGGCTTGGGTCGTGTCCAATGACAAGGCGCCGAACATGAGAAACAAGCTGGCTAACGCCATCGCTGAACACGTGCCTGCAAGTCGAATTAAGTTAATTGCTGTTGCCCGCAAACCTTCTGCTGCACTGGTTTTCCTTCTTGCAGAGTTCACTAGGCATATGAGATTTACGATTGGTCCTGCTAATCTCTTAGAATGGAACTCTGGCATGCTGTCTGGGGGCTAGGTCGTGTGTGTGGCACGCTCAATCAGACACTACGCTCGGTCTCCACACCAGTGAACTGACCCTGTCTGACAGTGGAGTGGCGCCTGTGAGAAGGACGGGAGAGTAAGGTCGACTCTGTTGGATCATATTCCTCTCTATAACCAGTCTGACTCTCTTAACTTTATCGGGATGCGCTGAAAGTCCTAGTTTGGAAGGCGGCCAACCGATGGAATAACTCAGTCCTTCTACTAGGACGCAAAGCTAGATTAAAATGGCTCCTTCTTAAAGTGTCCTTTACGGCACTGACACTCAGTTGGGTTCCGAGAAGTCCCTCTTCTCTTGTTGTATGAAGTCCTTGTTGGACGAGGGGGTGTGGTGGCACGAATAGGCGCAGGTTCAGGTCTTTCCAGCCATCTGTGTCCGATTCCACCTCCGGTCTTCCTGACTGTGGCTTGACACGGGGTCTGGGTGCGTGAGGGCAGAGAGGGTGCAGGAGATGCAACTCAAGTTTACTGTCACTATAAACTGATTCCCACCTAGGTCATCGTCTCTATGCTCACGCCGCTGTGGAGCGCACGGTGGACATCGTCAGGATCGATGGTTGGGTCGTCAGGTCACGCCAGCACGCTGACCTCTACACGTACGTTGTGGTGTGCCAAAGAATGGATAGTCACATTCATGGACTATCATTCTCGACAGATGACTTGTTTCGGAGTTGGCCATTTTAGTCTGATCTAGCCTGCTCTCAGTCCTCGCGTGGGTGTACAGAGTCCTGACGCGACGATCCTGTAGCTACTTCTGCCGCCAGTGCAGTTGTGCACAAGGTCTGGTTTTGCTGCCAATAGCCTAGGCGTGATGTGGCACAAAACTGCCCCCAAGCCTATTTTCACTCATTCTGACAATAACAGTACGACGGAAAAATGATATGGGAGGGAAGAGAGGATGAAGTCGGAAATGACTAACGTTCGCTTACTATAATAATTTTTATTCGCAGTCACCACCGCTTTCTGAGGGGAAAGGTGATTTTATTTACCTTGAGAAACGAACTATTATAAGGAATTAGAATTACTTCCCGAAAGAAAATGCTCTCCCGTATTCCAGTAATGGAACAATCAAAATCATGAAGGCAGGTCTGCGAAGCGAAATTCGACAGCACAGTCTAATCCTAAACCTGACATAAAACCTTACTGGCATATTAGTTCGTAGGCTGAAGAGTTAATTCTAATGCCTACGCTCGGACAAAGGCCCGACTCAAACACTGGCTAGCGGCATCTAATAAGCCAAAAATGGCCATTCCGGTCTCGCTCGTCTTTTTTGGCAACGTTATTCTGCCTATATCATGCGCCGCCGTGCGTCTGCTGATTATTCTCGAGAGAGAGTACGTAAGGCACAACGAGACGACTGAGGTCGGTTGCGCGATCGGTGAGCGCCCTCCTACAATTTAACGCTAATATTAACTACAGTCCCAGGTCCTAGCATAGCACTAGTTCTGCAGATAATTCAAGTAACTTTAGAAGAGATTAACGGCAACTGCTTCTAGCTGTACGACTTATCGCCAGCTAACCTCCTTCCGTCCACTTAGATGTTTTACATAGCAGACCCATTGATATCTGGTAATGGCTTTATCCCCATCTGAATAACGTCAGTCGCAAAAGTCCCCCAAGCGTTGAATTTCAACGTAATTCTTGTGGCTTCAGTCCAAAGGTTACCTTTTCGTTTACACCTACGTCTTAATAAGTCCCTCTCATATGCAAGCCATTTTACCGAAACTAAAAGGACACATAGGTTTTTTTTACCAGGGTCATTCGTACTATTTTAAATTGACCTTGTCATTCGTGAGCATGCGATTTGTTGGGAATTGATGGATAATCAAAGCTCAGCTCCGACTAAAGGTGTCTTTCAAATCATTCTAATTACTTCAGCATTTTAACCGCTCCGAATTGCCATTTGTCGAGGCTTTAATGTTTCGTGAATCGAAAAGTCAATTTGGCAAATAGGTTTTATCAGTTACTCGTCATCAGGCCAAAACAGTTACATTGAAGTTGAAAATATGCGAAGTTCACAGGGTTTATTAATGGTGCAGGGGCTAGTAACACTCACCGTTCCTACGCCACTTATTTTTCGATGAGTGTTAATAACCCCTGAATCACTTATAAACCCTGTGAACTTCGTATATTTCCAACTTCTATGTAAATGTTGTGGTCTGATGACGAGTTACCGGAAGCATCTCTTTGCCAAATTGACATTTCGGTAATATGTGGTTTGGTAGTCCCACCTGATGGACACAATACTGTTGGAGTTGAGGTCAAGGGTTAGGGTTAGAGATCAGGATTAGGGTTAGGTGGTGGCGCGACCATTCCTCACCCACCAAAAGCACAACCGCGCAATCCCAATGGCTTTTCTTTTGCATACAACTACTTGACCTCGTCGCCTGTACTTTCGCCGGCCCCACCTGTAAAAAAACCCTATTACCACCGGTCCCGTATCAGAGGTGACCGGCGTTTGCCTACTTCGGGTGAAGCTGCCAAACCACATCCGAGCGACTTTTCAATTGTAACCTGGGAATTTTCGTGAATTGTTCAAGCAACTGTTGCTGTCAGCTTCATTTCTCCAGACTCTATGACTAAATGAGGTAAGCAAATCCAGCTCTGCACCATTAATGCAATCATACGACCAGTCTAAAACAGCTAATTGACGTGGTCTAACTCCGTCAGGTCCAGTTTGCAAGCTGTCTACAAACGCCGCCATTGTTCCCTCCACCATCAGCAGGGACAAGAAACCACGTCGCTCATTTATCTGTTCGATACTTTGCATATGACAATCCAACTTAACTGCTCTTTCGCTGGGTCAGATGAGGGCGAGCACTGCGTTCCAAATATAGGACAAAGTGGCGTCACGCAAACAGTGAGTCAGGTGTGTGTGTGTGTTTAGCACAATCAGCACACTAACCCAGCTCGTTCGACACAGCCTTTCGTCAGCCAGTTCACAGCAGTAAGGAAACGCGGTTGATTTTATCAGATGGCACTTCTGAAACGAACTATCAGCAGATGAGTGGATGGTACGCAAGGGGAGGGGGAAGCTGCATGCATTGGCGAAGGTTTTGAGTTAAATTGGCGGTTAGTGGTATAAGGGCGTCGCGCTCCGTCGGAACTTATGCCTCGTTGTCTGCCAGTGATAGCAGGGGAATCAGGCATTCCGCAGGACCATGAGTGGATCCGCCTGTGAACTTCTTTCCTTTCATTGTCGCCACCTGTTTGATCATTCGCGTCCGGGGCAATACTCTAGTTAGTCCGAGACTAACGGTGACGTAGTAACTGTCTCCCAAGTAATAGTGCAGACCTGGTGCATCCACAATGTATACCTAACACTGTCTCTGATGATACGTCCGAATGAGAATCCGAAACGTCATGCAAAAAGACATTTTGCTTCAACTATCCCATCTGCTTCGCATAGAGAAAGGAACTGTTCACTTATCAATGCATGGTTCCGTGCACGGTAGGTGGTTTTTCTCATTAGTCTTGAAGAGAAATTTTAAAATGTTGTTTCAGTTAAAAAATGGCTTCTTTACTGCGTTCGCAACATTGAGTACCATGCAACATAATCTTGATATTTTTCGGTTGAATCAAAATGTTCGGTGTTAAATACACGTCCTTCGAACCACTTAACTAAATCAACGTTACTAGAAGAATGACTACTTAGGTACTATGAATGATTTCCAATGGTTAGCGATGTTTTCACAAATTTTAACACACTTTATAATTGATGTAAGAAATGGTCCCCTTTTTGCACTTAAAGCCGTTATTCAAAAAATGTATCTTTTGGTTTAAAAACTGGGCCAGATCGCAGTTGGTAGCCAGGAATGAAGAAGCGAACGGCGATCTAAACCCTTATCCTAACCTTAGCACTAACCCTAACCTCAACCTTAAACGTTAACCGTTAACCTTAACGACAACCCTAACCCTAACCGGAATCGCAGGACTGTAATTATCGGATTTTCAGCTGTATGGCATGGCAGTCTACGAGGAAGTAATGAAAGCTTGCAAGTGTCCACATCTAAGTTCGTTTCGTAGCTCATCAATCCACCGCTCCGTGTTTTATGAGCTAGTCGAATTCGAATTTCGACAGGACAACATCAACTGCTCAATGGGGGAGACATTTTTTTAGATTTTTGTTATCTGGGTTATATGCTTTTTCATAAAAAGCTTTGTTAAATATAAATATGGTCAAGTTCGTTTTGG